ATGAAGTAAAGTGGTAAAAGCATGAGCTGCCAAAGAGAATTTCATCCCACAGAGATGACAAACAGCAGGATTTTACTGAAGAATTCATCTTAATTCTTTAAAGTGGATCTAAGAATGTTTATGCAAGGAAGTCTGATTCTGAAATAAGGATTAAAAAGGTCTTGATTTCGGGTCTCAAGTTAATTAGACAACACGAACTGTTCTTTAAAGTAACATAATGATTAAAGACTTTACTTCAGAAGCAGTCTTGCTATCTGAGCACCACATTGCTATTCAACAAGCTATGCTATAGTCAAAGAGCAACCAATCAATCATATATAATCACACATAATTAAATGTAGGATAAAAGGGTTTGTTCAGATCTATTATTAGCGCACTTACCTCCAATTGCGAATATTGCTCTTTCAGTGATAAAAAAAAATTAAGCGAGACACTGCAAGGTGCACCAAGGTGAGCTGCTAAACATTAATTCAACCCCAATTGCTCTCCAAATTACTTTTTTAGCAAAACAACTGTATTTAAGTTCATACCTGCGTCTAGTGCAATTCAGATTTTTTCTTCGTCTTTGTTTTTTTTTTTTGCTGGCCATCTGGAGCCAGATGTTATGAGCATTACCCAGTTTAAGCTGGCAATCTATAAAATATGAATCTGTACATCCATTAAATATATATACAGTTGAAGTCAGAATTATTAGCCCCCTGTTTATTTCTTCCCTCAATTTATGTTTAACCAAGAGAAGACTTTTTCAACACGTCATAATAGTTTTAATAACTAATTTCTAATTACTCATTTATTTTATCTTTGCCATGATGATAGTAAATAATATTTGACTAGATATTTATCAAGACACTTCTATACAGCTTAAAGTGACATTTAAAGGCTTAACTAGGCTAATTAGGTGAATTAGGTTAGGGCAGTTAGGCAAGTTATTGCTCTGTAGAATATCGAAAATAATATATAGCTTAAATGGTCTAATAATTTTGACCTTAAATAAGTTTTCTTTTTTTAAAAATAAAAGGCTGCTTTTATTATAGCCAAAATAAAACAAATAATATTATCAGACATACTGTGAAATTTTCTTGCTATGTTAAACATTTGGGCAATACATTAAAAGGAAAAAAATTAAAAGGGGGACACAATCTACATTGTAAAAGCGCTATACAAATAAAGGTGAATTGAATAGAAAAAATTTAAATATTAATACTGATTTCAAATGTACATGCATAGTTTTCATTGAACATCAACATACATACTTAGCATTTTAAAATTATGTATTATAATTTGGTAGGTTTCTAGTCTAGCTTTGAATCTAAAAACAAACAAACCGGAAAGCAATAACATAGTCTAAATGTTTAGACAGTCAGGAAAGTTTATTTTGTAATAAACAAAAAGACAAAGTTGTGACAACCTAATTTGAGTTAAACAGCAAGAAAATGTATAGATAGATAACTTATTTACTCTTTAAAATTGAGATTTCATAAGATAGTTTTGAAACAAGGCCACAGAAGAACCATTTTTGGCTTCCCAAGTAGCAATTCTGAAAAAGTCCACTAAGACATCATATTTTAAACTTTAGTTGATGTCTAATGTAGCTGTGTGAACATAAACCGCATCTATGAATGTAATTTTCTAAAAAAGTTCAATGCAAAGGGAGACATTGGCTTTTACAAATTTCACTTAGCAAAGCCGACAGCAAATGAAGTTTGGAGACTACAAAAAAATACATCCAAGGTAGTGAGATCCCAAATACTTCTGGTTATGCACATTCACCACACGCACACACCTTGCGCAGCAAAAAGGCGTGGCCAGAGGCATTGTAATATTATAACAAGGAAAGCTAAAATGCCGTCCAAACACTGGAATTTTGACAGAGCTTCTGCTTCTGTATTTGGGCTTCCAAAGGTCATGACACAAAGACAGAAGTGGTTACAGTTTAATTTTAATTATGTTCCAAAGAATTATATAAAAAAGATATAGCTAGCATTTGACAAAGGATAGCTTCCAGAATCTCTCCCAGTTCAGAGATTTGGTTAAAACTCATCCAACCAACGAAGCTGTGGACTGTGAGCCACAACCTGTAGGTAATTTTACTTGTTAAGATTGATTAACTACATGCAAAGTTTTATAGTGTTAATGGTATGTTGTAGTTTGGATGTAAACAAGGATGTAAACAATGGGAAATGCTGTTTGGCACCGCTAACAATTTAGTTATGAATTCATATTTACCAGTCAAACAGCTGTAAACACCCACAATCTTTAGCAGTGCGAGCAATGTCTCTCTATGCAGGCACTTTCCCTGCATTCTACATCTCAAATAACAATATCACCAAACATATGAGAATGTTATATCTCACTTACACATGCTTATCCCGAATATATATCAAAGTATTTTAGAGAGCAGGCATGAGGCTCAGCTGTGTTCTCTTAATTTTTCCATCTGATTCAGGCAGCTAACGCAGGTAGCAGCGGCTCTGACTGATTGTTTACACAATGCAAAAGTGCATGCTTGTAGGGGCATGACGTTGTGACGTGGAGCAGATCTGCGAATCACAGCATATTATGTTAGCTGACCAATCAGAGCCTCTTGAGGGTGGGTCTTTCAAAGTAACTACAAAATATGACAGTGGTTTTTATGTTAGCTGAGTACCTGTGTATAATCAAAGTAAGATATATGAAAAAAATGCTGTGATTGTATACAAGTGAAGCATGAGCACATATTGCTTTGCATCTTATAAACACAATCAAGCCTTAAAAATACACTGTGGACCACCACTTTAAAGAACCATATTTGTATTTGTGTAAAGAACATTTTAATAATCTAAAGAGCATTTTCTCATTAGGAATATTTAATATAATGTTAAGATTGCATGGATGTAAATATGTGATGCCAGTATAAAAACATGTTCAGTGTGTTTAAAAAAGCACCATTACAATATATTAGATCACTTTTAAACCACTTTTAGGCCATCCTTATTTTAATCCAAAACAGCACTGTAAAAATATTTAAAATGTCTTCCGTTTATATGCAAGATGTTCTTTTCTTTTATCCTCTACACAATATCAGCTCCAGAAAACGTCAGTGCTGCGACCACTTTGTGAAACCCGGCATTCCTTACTGTGAGACTTCTATCAGACTGGCTAAATGTCAAACCACAGGATTTGGTATGAAACAATGAGTGGTAACATCCCAACAACACCACTAGAAGAGATAGAGGTGCAGTCTGAGGCACTGCAGCACAACACAGTTATATAACTGGGAGATCTGTTTGCCAAATAAGGATATGAATCCTCATCACTGTTTATAAATAACAAAAATAAATAGCTAAACTAAACTTTGCAAATGTTATAAACAAAATTCTGCCAGGGATTGCATTATAACATAGTCAGTGTTTCTGCAAACAACCCTATAGCTTCCTTACAAACGGCCATTAACAATCATTATAACAACCATGTTTTTCTTAAAGGAACATTTAACTGTTTTGGATATAGGCTCAGTATACAAGTCCTCCAGAGATAAATAGTTGAGCTTAACTATTTTTGTATCCATTCAGCTGATCTCCAGGTCTGGCGGGAGCACTTCTAGCTTAGCAGTCAGTGCTCATTATATCTAATTAGACCATTAGCATCTCATTCAAAAATAATAATTTAATAAAAAAGAGTTTCAACTATTGTTCTTCTTAAAGCTTGACTCAAATCGACTATGACCAACTGAAAATGAAAAATTGCTAACGGAGACTGCCTGAAAGAATTGAAAAATGGTAAAACTTAACTGTTTAACTCTAGGTGAGTTGTAAAATGAGCCTATTTCCAGAAGATTGGATTGTTCCTTCAATATAGAGTGATATGACATATTTTTTAGGGCTAACCCAAGAGTTAGCATCACCCTGGTTTCTTCAGGACCAAGCCTGTAGGATTTTTCTATTGGTTTTTAAATTATTGCAGAAAACAAGATTTTAAACCAGCATAAGCTTAAAAATCTTGCACATTGCAGACATTGCGCCAGACCACACACCACACACCAGCTGATTGGTGGAAAGGACACTGAGTGATAAAGCCAATTAAGATATGGAGATGGTTAGCAGGCTAAATGAGTCCCCTTCACAACACTGGGGCATTAGGACCCAAACAGACCGCAGGCTAAGGTCTTCCTGCTGGCCTCACTAACATCACTTCCGGCAGCCAACCAGTCAGTTACTGACAGGGTGCAGCCCTACTTAGCTTCAGTGGCAGACCATGTGAAAGTTGCAGAGAGCTAGCTACTGGCTAATGTAATGTGTATTTACAGAGCGCATTTATCATGTATGGCCATACACCCCAAGCACTACAGAATCAACTTGGATGATGCAACGGCAGTCACAGAACAAAGATGCCAGTGCAGTCACCACACAACAGCTATAGGGGGGTGGAGAGACAAAGATACAGCCGATTTGGTGGATGGGGATGATTAGAAGGCACTGACGTAAGGACCGATGGAGGGAATTTTGCCAGGACACAAGGGCTACCCCCCTACTTTTTACGAGTAGTGCCATGGGATTTTTTAATGACCACAGAGAGTCAGGACCTGGATCTCATCCAATAGATGGCATTTACTGACAGAATAGTGTCCCCTTTACTATACTGGGGCATTAGGGTTCACACAGGTTGAGCGCCCCCTGCTGGCCTCACTAACACCATTTCCAACAGCAACCTAGTTTTCCCATGTAGTCTCCCATCCAGGTACTGACCAGGCTCAGCCATGCTTAGCTTCAGTGAGTAACCGGTTAATGTACCAGACAACTTTTTATGCATTTTATAACATAGATTAAACTGTGATAATATTCTGAGCTTCTGTTAATAGAACATATTTCATCCATTTAACCAAACGCCAGAAAAGATTGTTATAAATCAATCAGAATGCTATCTTGTTTATGCGTTTTTGCATACAAAAATATGTCAACCCTGCAGCACTCCATTTAAAGCAAATGCAGAATATTCATGAAGGAACCCAAGCTTGTACTCACCTGCTCATGGTATTCAATCCCCATACTCAAGGTGTTGATGAGGATGGCGATCATAATTCCCCGGTTAAAGTATTTGCTATCCACTATACGGGTCAGTCTTTCCCTGAAGTCCTCCCAGAATTGAACCAGACGGTTTTGTTTCTCCTGCATTTTATGATGTGCTGAACGGCCGGTTATGAACCCGGCATCATATGAGAACTCATACACCATGTCCCCTTCTGATCGAGGGTAGTCTGAATCACCAATCTCCAGATCCATGCTCTCAAGGGCCCTTACGCAATACGGGCAGCTCATGACCTCAAGAAGTAATTGAGTGGGCACCACACCAGCCATCTGCAGCAGCACACGACTGTGGCCTGCATGGAGAAAAACACAGTGACAGTCAACGCTTTCACAGTTTTAACTAGCAAACTGGCACTTTCACAAAGTAGCATAATTGCTTTAACAAGCTATGGTATGGTAAAATGTTAATTAAGCGTGTTCCAGTGCAGTTTGTTGGATTATAACTAAAAAAATAATATAATTAGTTTTTGTTATAATTTATTTTGTAAGATGTGATATAGGGCGATGCGGAGACGCAATGGGTAGCGCTCACGCCTCACAGCAAGAAGGTCGCTGGTTTAAGCCCCGGCTGACTCAGTTGGCATTTCTGTGTGGAGTTTGCATGTTTCCGCCAGTTGCTCAAGTTTCCCTTACAAGTTCAAAGACATGCGCTATAGGAGTAATGGGTAATCTAAACTGTCCGTAGTGTATGTGTGTTAATGAGATTGTATGGGTGTTTAACAGTGATAGGTTGTAGCAGGAAGGACATCCACTGCATAAAACATATGCTGGATAAGTTGGCGGTTCATTCCGCTGTGGTGACCCCAGATTAAAAAAGGGATTAAGCTGAAAAGAAAATGAATGAATGAAGATTGTTTGGTTGTTTTGTAGTATATGTTATTTATACATAGGTTTTTTTAAAATAGCTATTACGTCCACTGTTGTGTGTTGTATTTATGAATAATTTATGCAGCACCATTGTCCTGCGAGACAAGACATTTTGTTCCTCTGTATGTCCACATATATAGCGGAATGGCAATAAAGCTCGACTTGACTTGATATGTATTTTTGTTTCAGCACAAAATACATCACAGACCATTTTTTATAATATCAATTGGTGGAAACTAAAACTTTTTGTCTCTTTAAATGCAAATGAGCTGCTGCTCTCGTTCCCTCAGTAAGGGCATTTGTCCACCAAAGCGTTTTTGTGCAGCTGATAATGGCAGCGCTCCAAAAACACTTGCTGTAAATACTTCTCCAATTGTTGAATACTTTTAAAACACAGAGCTTTCAGCGCTTCATGTAAGGCAGATGCAAAATGCAAAAATGCACTGTGGGCTCTATTCTAACGATCTAGGCGCAAAGTCTAAAGCACACTTTTGCTACTTTGAGGACGGAAAAATACGCTTTGTGCCCTGACTCATGGTCTAAGAGGGTTGTGCTTATTCTTTTAATGAGTTATGGGTGTGTTTTGAATATAACATGCATTAAAGCAATCAGAACCTCATCTCCCATTCCCTTTAAGAGTCAGTTGCATCACGCCATGGAACATTTGCTATTTATATGGCGAATTTTGTAAGTGGAAAAACTGAAAGCTTCACTTGCAAGAAAACAGTTAAACAGACCATCTGCAGCACACGGATAAAGAACAAGCCTCCTCCAATTGACCTCTTTATTTCTTTTTCTTTTACTCCTTTACATTTGTGGATAAGGAAACGGTGTTGTGCCCACTCCACTGGACATCCATTAGTCTACATATTTAATTTCGTGCTAAATTTTGTTAAGCACAAAGATTTGTTTTAAAATTATTTCTAAATTCAGTTTGAATTTCCAGCAAACGAATAAATGAACAATAATAAAGAAGTGTGGTCAAAAGTTATATCCAAACACAAGTCCCATTTGAAAATGCAATGCTTCGATAGAAAAAAAAAAAAAGCAAAAATGCTTCAGTGGACATACGCCCTTAAAATAAATTCTGTTTTGTATCAACATTTAAATTCAGCAGCATACAAAAGACATTCAAGTCTACATAATATCAGTTATGCTTCTTATTAGATTAGGGCAGGGGTGCCAAAACTTTTTCTTATGAAGGGCCAAAACCAAACTTAATTGAGGCCAGTGGGCTGAAGGTAAATATTTATCATGGGTACTAATTATTTATCCTAATTTATTTAATAATTTTTTTATCATGACTAGAAAATATTGCCCTATAAGGTATTGTTTTTTTACTTTTTATAATGAACCCATTACAGTCAAAACAATCTCATTTATAACAAAATTACTCTAGTATTTGACTTATTTTTTATGTCTTCTGCATAGTCCTCTATCCGTTGAGTGACAACATTTACATTTTAAAATGAAATAAGATACATTTTTAACATTTAATTGAAACATTTCATTTTAGTTTGCTCAAGTCTAAATCAAATAATTAAAAAGCAATAAAACGAACAAAAAAACGTTATGTCAAATTACAAATGACGATCTCTGTGTTAAAGGAATTCACCCAAACCCTCTTCATCATTCTCATTCTCCTCTCAGATAGGGCGGTGGGCCAAATCAAAGGTTACAATGGGCCTAAGTGATACCTAGTCTAATTCAGACTCCAATAGATCTCACATTCACCTTATGTGAATGTTTACTGTGAACTCATTTGTTTGAATTATAATACACAAATCTGCTCCTATATATTTTTCCCAATTTCAACAGTTAAACCCATTTCAATAATTCATTCATTCATTTTTTATTGGCTTAGTTCTTTTATTAATCTGGGGTCACCACAGCGGAATGAACCGCTAACTTATCCAGCATATGTTTTACGCAGCGGATGCCCTTCCAGCCACAACTTATCACTGGGAAACATCCACACACACTCATTCACACACATGCAATACGAACAATTTAGCCTACCCAATTCACCTATACTACATGTTTTTGGACTTGTTTTTGGAAACCGGAGCACCCGGAGGAATCCCACGCGAACACGGGTAAAACATGTAAACTCCACACAGAAAATGACCCAGCCTAGATTCAAACCAGCTACCTTGCTGTGAGGCGAACGTGCTACCCACTGCATCACTGAAGCCCAATTCACTGAAGCCCAGTCCTAATTCTATTGTTTATGTTTTTTAGTTTTCAAAAAAAAAAAAAAAAAGGGCAGTTCTGTATGCATTCTGTTCAGCTTTACCCTCTCTTGACCTTATGCTCTTACAACCTTAAATTCAACTAATAGGTCTAATCAGAGTATGTCTGGTGCTGTACTCTTACACTAATGTGCTTCCTGAGAACATAATCATACACACTGGCCCACTTTAGCCTGTGGTAATGAGCTCAAGTGGAGGACACTCAAGCAGCAATCAAACATTACTGCTGGCAGAGGCAGGAAATTTGAAGTAAACATTCAGTACATATTCCTGTTGACAGAAATTTACAAATAGTCTTTCTGCAACCAATTGATATCGAAATGAAAACTAGATTGAGCACGAAAGAGATGCTTTGGTTATCTGGGGCTAACCAAATACAATATCATACAACAAACAATAGCATACAAAATCACTGATGTACTAAATTCTGTTCATTGATTGAAATAATACACAGTTATGGGAGAATTTTCAAAAGCAACAATTGCACTATTACCTGCAAAATGCAACAAAAATCAACAACAACAAAACGTCTGATCTTATGAAGCCATAAAATTACACTTAATGTGGATACACACAACACACAGCGAGTTTGAGAGATGTAGTTTACCCAAAAGTTCTGTCATCATTTATTCCCCATCATGCCACTATAAATATATATTATTTTATTTATTTCTCGTGCTGCTTTTAATTTGAAGCAAACCAAAGGGAACCAAAGAATGTTGGTTGCCACTGACTTATGTACAAACTGTGTACAAACATGTTTCACAGAAGAAAGTAAGTTACACTGTACATGTCTGGAGCCATGCAAGGATCTATTTGTGTGTGAGGTATCTGTAAAATAGATTCTGAATGCTTCGTCACACTGTTGATAGAGACAATCCTTTTGAAAACAGAAAAAGAGCAATAGAAACATACAAATATGCCTCAAGAAGAGATGCTTTGGAAGAGCCTAAGAAAATTGCCAGCTCTTTACTGGCACATGTCCAGCATCTTGCCCCAGTTCTGTTCTGAAAAAGTAAGCACCCAAACTTTATACTGACTAGATAAAATTATATGGACATTTTGGGAATTTTTCTACGAGGAAATTTTAACTTAGTTCTCTACACTCTCAGAAATAAAGGTACAGGAGTTGTCACTGAGTCAATACCTTTTTAAAAGATGCATATTTGTACCCAAAGAGTCCACAGTGGTATCTCAAAGGTGCATATTAGTGCCTAAATGTAACTTAAAAGTAGCTCTGAGTAGGCTTGGGTGTCGTTTGGGGTTATTTCGATACCGGTGCTAAATTGTTTTTTTTTAAATGGTACCGGTAACAAAATGGTAACTGAACCAATGCTTTGGAGCTACAAAATTATGATGGATGAGTCTAAAAAAATGTTATTTGACAGAATTTTTTTTTAATCATTTTGATTGAACAATAAAATTAAAGTTAAAAGTATACATCAATTCATATTTTATATATTTGAATTGCATTAATATATTTCTTCTCATCATTTGTGTGTTAGCATGAATTTAAGATTTGCATTATGCAATCAACATTACTTAAGCTTACTACTAACATGTGGAAAGGCTATCATCAAAAATCAGTGAACTCCTTTTTTTAGGGGCTTGTGACTACGTTTACATGGACATCAGCAATCTAATGAATCTTTTGCCTTAATCTGAATTAGACAGCAATATGATTAAGGTGTTTACATGAGTTGCTTTATGAATGTTTCTTTCAATGATATAATTTTTCATATCATAGATTGATTAGCGTCATTGCGTCATAATGCTATTCACAATTCCTCCAGAGTTTCTTGTAATTTTGGGTGTTTAAAAAGACACTGTATAGTGTTTGATTGACCTAACTCTACAGCCAGGCCTAGAAACCTCAAAAGACTAAATCATTTACAACCAACTGATCTTTTCCCTCCAATGACAGATTAAGCCTCCAGCCTATCCATCTAACATGATGTATCAACTGCTGCTGTAGAATTTCGAAAGCCCTGACAGCCGTGGTCGCTCGCTGTTGCCTCACTCCTTTAAAGATTGCGTTAATGACTTTAACATTTGAAGTATCGATTTACTGTCACATCCATAAGAGCTGCCTAACAATCACTTTTCAGAAAGCATTTCATTTTCCTGAAACAGGCTGTGTGAGGTGACTACTGAACCTGATGAGAAGGCCAAACAACGGCAATTAAAAAAAAAAAAACTTACTATGTGCTTCAATTTGCTGGTGCAGCTTGTCAAAGTCCTGTATCACCTCATGTCCTGTATTTGCATCCGACTTCCCCCTCTCTTTCCCTAATGAACCTCCACCTGAATAGTTGCAAATGAGGGACGGCAAAATTGTGGGATAGTTCATCCCCCCATTGAGTCGGCTGAGTGCCGGAACAGCAACATTAGTGGGTGTTCGCTCCTGCGGGGCCTCACGAAAGTCACCTTGATAAATGCTATGCACTGATTGTGTGCTGGAAGAAAGATTGTGCGTGGCGGTTGGCTGAGAGGACACGGTCAGCTGCTGACCCGCTGTGATGGACCTCATTTCCAGAGCCTCACTGGAGCCCGTAGTGGCCACAGGACTGGGGCTGCCATTGCTGAGGTGACAGTGCTGTCGCTGGTGCTGCTGGATGAGGCTGTGAATGGACTGTACCCAGTGTCCGTAACCCCTGTGCCTACTGTGACCATTGGCACCTCCGCCAGCCCCGGTGTTGGGGTTCACTTTCTTTCGCCGCTTGCTCTGCCAGCTGTTGTAGATGCGGGAGAGGCGGCGCTTCACCTTGCGGTACAGGTGGCTGACGTACTTGAGCATCTCTTCGTAGCAGCTGCCCGGCTCAGAGTAGCTGGCGAGGGTGCTGTCGTTGGAGCGGTATCGTGCACGCTGCTCCTTCATCAGCATGTTCTCGCGCTGTTTGGTTTCTGCGAACTGGGTTGCTATTACAACCAGGCACAGGTTGATCATGAAGAAGGAACCCACCTGAGGGACACAAAGGCTGATTTAGTTTACAGTCATTAGATAATGTGAGAATTTGATAAAGACAAATATAAATCTCTTTTTAGTGCCTGTTTTACACTGGACATGTGATGTATAGGACACTACAGTTCAAAGGTTAATGTTATGTAAGTCTCATTAAGGCTGCATTTATATAAACATTCATTTATATATCTATATATTTGTGTGTGTGTGTGTGTGTGTGTGTATACATACACACACACACACACACACACACAGTTGAAGTTAGAATTATTAGCCCCCCTGTATATTTTCCCCCAATTTCCATTCAATGGAAAAAAATTCACTCATTCATTCATTTATTTTCTTTTCGGCTTAATCCCTTTATTAATCTGGGGTCACCACAGCGGAATGAACCGCCAACTTATCAGCATATGTTTTGCGCAGCGGATGCCCTTCCAGCTGCAGTCCAACACTGGAAAACACCCATACACACTCTTTCACAAACTTAGGCCATACTCACACTATGTAAAGTTTCCTCGAACCGGGCCAAAGCACGCTTGTCCCCCCTCCCGTCTCCCCCGATGGCCCGCACTCACACTACAATCGGGCCTGGGCACGCTTACGTCATCGATGCTGCGCTCTAGTTATATCATTTCAGTTGTTTGATATGCTGTGACATACAGTCAAATATTTCGCCAAACAGTCCTTAGGGATGCGGTGACACGCAGTCAGATATTTCGCCGAACAGATCCGCCACTATATATATAATTGCCATATATATATATATATATATATATATATATATATATATATATATATATATATATATATATATATATATATGCACACACACACACACATTCATTTTCTTGTCGGCTTAGTCCCTTTATTAATCCGGGGTCACCACAGCGGAATGAACCGCCATCTTATCCAGCAAGTTTTTATGCAGCAGATGCCCTTCCAGCCGCAACCCATCTCTGGGAAATTTATATATATATATATATATATATATATATATATATATGACAGTTCTGTCTGGTTCTCGAATCTGATTGGCTGATAATAATTGAATTCAGATTATAATAATTCAATGTCAGTAATATCAGCACTCGTACAATATCTTTACCCTTTGTGTATTACTCCGCCCACATACAGCCAGCAAAAAGCAGACACTACAGATCTAAAGTTTAAAAGATGCTTTCTCAGCTGTTTAACTGTCAGCTTATGATTTGAATCCAACGCGGAAGAAAGTAGTTTCTCATACAAAAGGGTTTTTAAATCTCTCCATGTTTGATTTTGTTTTTATATACACAATTATGCCGTCAAACTGTTGTATAAACGCAATATCACACTTGTAGCAGTGCGATATGGCTGTATATCGGCACTGGTGGAGGCACTAAAGTACAACGCACGGCTCCCACAAGTGCCGATATATACCTATATCGCACTGCTACGAGTGTGATATTGCTCATATAGATATAATGTTTAAAAATTGTTAATTCTAGGGTTACTAGTTCTTTTATATAGGTACAATACTTTATATTTCCCAAATTTAAATGAAGCCTGACAAACATTTTATTTCCATATGCTTTTTAGCTAGGCAGCACGGTGGCACAGGGTAGCATAATCGCCTCATAGCAAAAAAGTCACTGGTTCGAGTCCCGGCTGGCTGGGTCAGTTGGCGTTTCTGTGTAGAGTTTGCATGTTCTTCACATGTTGCCGTGGGTTTCCTTCGGGTGCTACGGTTTCTCCCACAGTCCAAAGACATGCAGTAAAGGTGAATTAAATGTTAAATTGGCTGTAGCATATGTGTGTGAATGCGAGAGTGAATGGGTATTTCTTAGTGTTGGGTTGCAACTGGAAGGGCATCCGCTGCATTAAACATATGCTGGATAAGTTTTCAGTTCATTCCGCTGTGGCGACCCCTGATTAAAAAAGGGACTAAGCCGAAAAGAAAATGAACGAATGAATGAATATATTTTTTTTACTGTAAATGTGTCTTTATTTTAACTTTGTATTTTATGTACTTCCAAATTGAGCTTCCTGTGAGTTGCCAACTTCATTCCCAACTCATGAACTCAATTACACAGTGAATTCTGACACAGGCATGTAGTTATACAGTACTAGTGATATTAGGAGATTACATCATTGACGCCGCATGCTGCAATTGCCTGCTGTTACAGTCATGCAGTGGCTCTGCTCTACTCACATATACGGTGTGAAACAGGCTGAAAACATTAAAATACCTTCAGTTAGAGCATACTTACTATAATAAGCAATATAAAATATATAAAATTGTAAAAGGAGTGGGCATCCATTACGTAATACATGATGTCCACCCATCCTTCCAATGTAATAACCTGCAGACACAGAAGAGAAATGAATGTCAGATGAAGATAAAATGCAATGAGACAGAATATTAGAGTGATCATTATCTTGAGTTTGGCCCAGTAAAACAGCACTCTCAGGTGCCTGGCTCACATTTCCAACTGCGCAGATGGCTGGTGGCTCAATCACCAAGTTTTGAGATATCATCTTGGGAATGGAAAGTCTTGAAAGTTTAGCAAATAGTTTTTTTTTTTTTTTGTTAAGCAAGTTTTTGACTTTTAAATAATAAATGAGTTTAAACACATACAAACTAAGAGCACTGATAACACATCCTGACTTGAGGCAAAGTTTCTTAGTAGAAAGAAGTCTCTCAATTGTAAATTGTTAGACATTAATGTTCCCTTTATACTACTGTTTCATCCTATCATCTAAAGATTTCTTTTAAAATGTTTTTGAAGATAAAATACAAAGGACATAATCAGAAAGAAGTATAGTAAAGTCTTACAGTTCACAGCACAGAGTGATGCCAGAGGTCTGATAGTTAGTTTGATGACAGTAATAGTAGTGCAAGGTTAAGTCTGTTAGTGTTGAGTCATTTGTTTTGGAAGCTCTGCGCCCGCAGCAGTGCATTTCATTCCCATCCAGCTGTATCATTTAGCATTAGACCTCATGTTTGAACCCTAGCTTTTTCTCTGCTGTCTACTAGATTCATTGTCTGGCTCTGGATAGTAGACATTTTGGTATTTAAAGAGACAAACTTTGGTTGTTCACGAAATAAAAGCATGAATCTTCTTGTTCAGTTTCCGCAGTGCTTTCAACACATTGGCTTTAAACCAGCTGATTCAAAATGCAGCCACGTTTACATTTTGTAAATGGGACTGTACAGCTAGGCACACGTTTTTTTAAAATTTATTGTAGGCCTATTTTACAAACTGTATACCACTGTACCAGCCAAAACATTACTTTCATTTCAAGTTCTAATTGATGTCAGGCTAAAACTTGTGCCTTGGATTCATTTTAGCTGCTCACAGCAGTAATATCCTTGAAAATATTTTTACTTTTGACACCTGAAAATAAACTCTTTCTAAAACATTTTCACACACTCGCCAATCTCCAAAAACACGCACCACTGGATATTCTGTCATTATGACATGTTTTCTGAAAGCTTTGCCCATCAAAGAGTCATTTCCACAACACTTTAAGTCATGCATTGTCTTTAATATTTTTTATGATTAAAATAGGTGACAGTTTGAGAATTTTTTATTAAACAGTTGGTTAAAAATAAAATTTTAATTGAATTAAACACTTTATTTTCCAGCCTCCTTGTCCCACTTCATATGTACTATACTAGCATTTGTATTAACAATAAAATTATGTTATTACAAAACATGAACTACAATAAACTTTGTTAATATTACCAACTATTACAGAGACACAAAGATGATCGTCTCACATTACTCTGAAAGGGAAAAAGTGCAAAATGCGGTATAAAGGACTACATAATAGATGCAGTATGGAAGACTACATAATAGATAATGCTTTACTTAAAATAGTGTTTATAAGACTGTCATGACAGCTTTATAAGAATAATAATTTCATACATTTATATAGCTACTTTCTGGACATTCAAAGCTCTTTACACATTTTTGGGGGAAATCTCCTCAAACACCACCAGTGTGCAACATCCATGACAGCAGCCATATTGCTCCAGACCACACACCTCACACCAGCTGATTGGTGGAGAGGAGACAGAGTGATGAAGCCAATTAGGATATGGAGATAGTTAAGAGGCCTTGATGGACAGAGGCCAGTGGGCTAATTTGACCAGGATGCCAAGGTTAAACCCCTTCTCTTTTTTTGAAGGACATCCTGGGATTTTGAATAACCTCAGATAGTCAGGACCTTTAAAGTCTCATCCGAAAGACTGAAAGACGGCACTCACTGAGCAGTATAAAGTCCCCTTCACTATACAGGGGCGTTAGGACCCACACAGACCACAGGTTGAACACCCCCTGCTGGCCTCACTAACACCACTTCTGGCAGATTTCCCATCCATTTCCCAATCTCCCATCCAGGGACTGACTGGGCGCAGTTGCAGAGAGCTAGTTACCGGCAGTGAATGAATATGAAGGAGATTTCCTGCATGCTTATATCAACCATCATTAAGTGTCATTAGTTTAGTTTCATCATTTTAAAATGCAAAGGTGAGATTGTTGGAAGTGTATTTATTATGACAACCTGACATAAACACATCACAACCTGCCCTTGTTTTGACAACTTGACATTACTAAGACAAGATAACTTTTATAAAGCTGTCATATCACTGTCATGAAGCCATTAAAATAGTGTCATTATTTTTTTCATGGTCACTTGTTTTCAGTGGAACTTAATTAATTTGACTTGAAAATATAGTGTCAACACTTAATAATTTTATAACTGCGCAATTAATATGTCACTGTACATTAACTGTGATTTTAATGACAAATTCAATTTGTACCACTGTAGTCAAGGCCAAGAAAATACATCACACCATTATTAAGAAGTCATGACAATCATGTTTATGACATATTTATGACAATGTTATCCTGGTAATATCAAGTTGTCATAACAAAGGCAAAGACCGATTATGATGTATATGATGAAATTCCAAACATAGTCACCTTTGCATTTATAATTACATAACTTAGTGATTTACAATTAATGGCAGTTGTTAACATCAGTTGGATACGATCTCAGCCATATACATGACAGCCATGGCAGTCTTATAAAAACTCCTTCAAGTAACATAATTGGCAGTACAAGTATATAAGCTTACATTAAAAAGATTTACCTACGCATAAAAGTGCCAATAGGTTAAGAAATATTGTTTTAGAGCAGGTGTCATCTTATGAGAACAATCCAGGTCCTATTAAGGTTTTATGCTGATACATGTGAAAAACCCTTCAGGTCCTCTTTTATAATTGCTTTATAACCCTGTACTGTCATTATAGCCCAGCCAAAAGGGACACCACGTGACTGACCCACTTATAACGATCGGACAAACGAGGCCACAGAATTGAGCACAGGTCTCATTGCATGTCCGTACGTCGGTTTTAATATATCCATCCACCAAAGACATGACTGCGCATACTAAATACACTTAAACAGGCTTTGTGTCGCCAGTCTGTCTGTGGTGATTCAACTCTGCTGATGAGGATGGATTGAAAGTACTGATGAGTTAATATGCAGCGGGACGCTTTTCTTTTCTGATCTAATTTCCACGGACTGCGATATCACTTTCCTGTCGAAAAATCTCATCACTTTGCAGGGCTCCTTCTGAGCAAGGGGTAGAAATGACTAAAACAGACATTTGCTCAGAGGAGATTCAATTATTTGGTGTGGCTGGAGCATGCTTAACAAGACTCTGTCCTTTCAAGAAGAAAATCGAGCAATAAAAAGTTGTAAAAAGCCTCATCTACAGTATCTTTGGAATAACTAGGGCCGTTGACTTCAGGGAACAGAGCTATGACGCCTACTAATGCATTTTCATTCCCAGAGCACTCAACTGCATCCAAAAAAAAAAAAAAAATCTGGATTACAAACATCATTCCAAGAGGAACTTACCTGGAATATAGCGATCCAGGCATATCCAATGTTATCAAAGTTTACTGCGCCTTTGTGCGGGTTTAAGTCTCCGGGCTTGCATTCACTGTAATACTGGTTCCAGTTCACACAGCTGTAGTTGCCTGTCCCGCTCAGGCCAGAGTAGACATGTCCCAGAAAAGATGCATTTAAAGTGCACTCAACACCCTCTTTAAGGGGTGGCACAGCACTGCAGCGCTTCATGCCGTTGTCCTTACTGGAGGAGCAGATGAAGGGGTTGTCTTCACCATCTTCGTTCTCATAGTACAGACTCATATACGACAGATTATATTGGCTGTGGAAACACATTGAAGACAGTGTAGAATATAAGACATTTACTTGAAAAAGACTGAAGCTGAAACATCACATGCTTGGAGACATGTCAAGATCTGCACATCTCTTAAAATGTCAGCCAATTTTTAAGACAAGGCACGGTTGGGTCAGGTTGTAAAATGTCATGATTTCAGTTGAAATAAGTAAGGATAAGTTAGTAAATAAGAATTACAGGGTCAACTTAAGTTTGTAACAAAACAATAGTGTAGCAATAATGTAAATTTCAGGTCATCTCACAAATCATTTATTTTATCTCACTGTAAATGCCTTTTTTTCTGAATGGAAGCACAACACTACATGTATCAAACCACTTTTTCTTTTACATCACCATCAAAATAATAATATATCAATATAATATCAATATAAATTTGATCCACATTATGGGTTTATACAAGTGTCAATGCATGATCATGTCCAGCAGATATGCGGGAACATATTCAGGCAATAAACAGCTAGATCCAGCCCACAGACAAGCACTATGATTGTTGTGCATAGAGTTGAGTTCAGAATTATTAGCCCCCCTGAATTATTAGCCTATAAGACTCCAGAAGAAAAAAATATTATCAGACATACTGTGAAAATTTCTTTGCTCTGTTAAACATCATTTAGGAAATATTTAAAAAAAAGAAAAAGAAGTTCAAAGGAGGGGCTAATAATTCTGACTTCAACTGAATGTGACCCTGGATCACAAAACCTTAGGGTCAAATGTCTGGGTCAAAATGATTGATTTTGTTTTTATACCAAAAATCATTATAGATGCATAAAGATATTTTGCACATGTGTTTTACTGTAAATATTTCTCTAAACAAAATTTTTGATTAGTATTATGTATTGTTAAGATATTTCGTCAATGTAGATTTTATTCAAACCCTCAATATCCAGATTTTCAAATTGTTGTATCTTGTTTAAATATTATCATATCCTAACAAACCATCGATAATGGGAAAGCTTACTTATTTAGCTTCCATGTCATTAATAAATCTAAAAATGACTGATTTAGTGATCCAGCGTCATAGGTGTATTTTAATAGATGAAAATGCTTGTTTAGAAGTTAAACACCAAATATCTTCAAGATGCAAACCGGACATTATTTGGTTTTATATAAAAGTAGTCTGTCTCTGAAAATTGTTGGGTGAAATAGCCCATTAGATATTACTGTAAGCCTGAATCCACTCATGATCCATAAAAACACAGAAAATATTAAGTTTGATAAATAAATAAAACGTAATTGAATTAAATATATGAATGTGGTTCACTGAGGCTTGCATATATTACACTATGGCAAAAAAGGTTGGAGTTATATACATTAAAAAATTTAAATAAAAAATACATACAGTATATATATATATATATATATATATATATATATATATATATTCTTTAACTTACAAAAGTTCAAGGAGTATATTATTACAAACATAAAAACTGATTTATATAAATTAAATATTAAAATATTTTGACCTAATATTTTCTCTATTTTTTTTTTTATTTCATACTGTACGTACATCTTTTGACTTATACAGTAAATACAAGTTCAACACAACTATTATAACACTACATACCCTGAAGTCGTAGAATGTTTTGGAAAATCATGGCGCAAGTAATGCTGAGATACAAAAAACAAACTGACTGCATGTTAAAATCTGAACCAGGTCAAAACTCAAGACTTCATATAATTGTATATATTACATAAACATTTCCTCAAGAACTCTTCCGAAGACCATTCACAGACCACTAATTTGTGCCATTACTCTAAAATGCATGACTCATAACCCAACCAATTTCGACAGCTGTAGTCTGAACTCAAAGATTCAGTTTTTCATTAAATATGCTCCCAATTACTGAAGGTGTGTGTTCATTCAGTGCTCGGGGGACCGATGCTCAGCATAGATTTATTGCCAGGTTGCAACGTTCAGTTTACAAGACTGTCAGCGGCTGAAATGCCATTGCTGCTGGCAACAGTTGGCTGCCACTTTGGATCATATCGGTAGCGCTGACATGCTCCCAGCAGAGAGAGGGTAAAAGGAGAGAAGAGGGGAAGATGATGCAGCCAGTTAGATAAGAACAGGATTGTACTTACTCTCTCACTTTGCTTGGCATGAAACACCGATTCCTAAGAAGTCCAGCCCACAGCTGCACCCCGACAATTCCGAATATAAAGAAGACAAAAAAGCACAGCAGGAGGACGTTGCCTAACATAGGCAGAGTATCTAGAAGCAGAGTGACCAGTATCCTCATACCTGAAACACAAGAGATCACAGATGCATGCATTTTAGAATTACATGACTATTTGTGTGTAAAAGTACACATGAAATCAAAACTAACCATTATTGATTTTGTTAGCTCATATTGCTAGTTTTGTAGAGAATAATAGTAATTGTTTGGTCTAGTGATCTTAATTGACATCTAAAAATGCACGTCCTGTTTGTTTTCAGTTAAATTCTCAGATTACATCTGTCTGAGCTATTGGGCATGGCTAACATACTTAACCATGCCCCTCCAACTGTCAGTTTTGACACCATTATGACAACAAACAGAAATGGTGAGCAGGAGGAGTCTAATAGGTTGTAATAACTCTTCTGAAACCCCTTTTCCAATCTTTCTAAATGAAATGCCTACTTTACTACATCCAATCAGCTCACAGTAGGAAACAACAAGCCACACCCACTGTTTTCTAATTTAATATTCCATTTCTCTAGGAACTGCATTACAATACAAAAAAAAAAAAAAAAACAGTCACAGCTTCTGGTTCATGCAGACAGAAAAATGCAAAATACAATTTTTAAATTGCAAAACTTAAAAACCTCATCATCCACATGCTTACTGAATACTGAATGGCTCAATATAATACTGAGTATTGTGACATCCCTAGTGTTCTCTGTAAATAATGGTGAAAATATATGATAGTACAAAACAAAACAAAACAAAACAAAACATAAAACAAAACAAAACAAAAAAACAAAAACAAAAAACAAGAAAAGCAAAGCAAAGCAAAACAATGCAAAGCAAAACAAAAAAGAAAAAAAAGAAAAAAAATAGACACATTCTACAGGAAAACAATGCAGAACAATTACACTTTCATTGTTCTGATTTTCAAAAACCTCTTTGTCCATGACCATCATGTTGCACTTTATCCTCTTTTAATAGTGTAATTAGTGTAATATAAATTAAATGGCCAGCCTAAGATTGTAGAAAAAACACCTTTAACCTAAACTGGTCCCGCTTGTGATAATGCTTGACAGAGCAAAGAAATTGCATATTTTAAGTGCCCTGCTGAGGGACCACAGCAGCTGCCTGTGTCTGACTTTAATGGAAAATTAAGACTTAAACCACTGCACAAATACCCATTCCCATTATCCCTCACTGCAGGCTTTCAGAAGCACTGACAAAAGCCAACTACCTCTCATGAACACCATAGCCAACATATAAAGGTAGCAGCGTGGTTACAAACAACTCTTTTAACAATCTAAAAAGTATGACAACAACAACACATTGTACCCTGGCAGACCCTACATTAGCACTGTGGCAGTGAAATTACACTCACATTAACTTGAGTATGGATGCAAAATCCCTGTGTAGGGCTGAGAATAACCATAATTGCCATACTATTATAAAACTAATATCCGAACAAGCAGGCAGCCACAAATTAAAATGTAAATGTAAATAAAACAAAGACAGTCAAAGTTAAAAAATTTATGTTAAATACATTTATAAATAAAAAATATTCAGAACAGAGTGCTTAATTCTGATCTGTGTAATTACTACAAACTCTAGAGTTCAGAGAACAATAAATACATATTTCTGGATTTATTAACACAGATTTAATTTTTATTGTTATTAATTCACTATTGAGATATGAATATGAATATGATATTCACTATATATATGAATGTGAATGGCGCTAAAAAAGACATTTATTTATTGTTCATGATTTATTAATTACAATTGAAATGAATGGAGTTTTCATTTCGAAGTTTTCAATCTACACAGCATGTCATCTTCTACATTACATCTTCTGTCATTACTGCATCCTAAATGTGTCCATGCTTGAGAGAATATATATAATATCCTAATTTAATTTGTTAACTTTCTGTGCAGTGTTGTCTCTAAAAAGTGCATTGGTTAAGTTTTTTTTTTTTAAGAAGAAGAGCTCACATATTAAATAATGAAAATGCTAAATAGTGGTCACCTGAACCACAAGGCTACATGCTGCTTCTTATTTCAGCAGTTGTGCACAAATTACATGTCTCCATATTTTCTCTAAAGAAAGGTGCATTTTTCAGTGATTTTCATCTGTATAATTGCCTGATACAATGGTCAGTTGAGAAGCAATTTCAAAAGCTTTGTATTATATATATCATCAATGATTTTTTAGGAAATTACATAAAACAGCATGTTGCTTGAAGCAACATTGATTGTACTGTAATGTAACTATAAGTCCATGTCAAACACTACTATCAGCCACTAAAGCCCAGTGGATTACCAGATCTAGTTTTAAATCATCAGTTCTCACATCTATTAGACCCCTCTGCTGCTTTTGACACTATGAATCATCAGATTCTTCTAACCCCCTTTCTTCTATCCACCCTTCTGCCAATAATCCTGGGGTAATGTAAGATGACCAGCTGTCCTTCAAGGATCACATTACAAACCCAGCATGATCATGCAGGTTTCATCTATACAATATTAAAAAAGATCAGACCCCCATGTTGCACAACTCCTTGTCCAAGTTTTTTTTGTTTCTGCATTCCTCACTCATACTGTATGTCACTTTGCATAAAAGCATCAGCTAAAAACTAAATATAATTATACTGTTTGAGATATTGTAGCATTGATGGTTTTGTTATACTTGTGCAGGTACAGCATTAAGAAATGTTAGATTAGAAATGTAATTATTATTTAAAAATGAAATAAACTGATAAAAATTCAGGGTTCCACACAATTTCTTCATTTTGTCCCAGCACAAATCAATTAAGTCAACTTGAATATATATATATATATATATATATATATATATATATATATATATACATTTTTTTTTTTTTACAAATTTAAGTGGATTTAACATAAGACAATTAAGTTGCCCCAACAAAAACGCAAGAATCTTGTTCATTCAGTTGCTTGAATAAGCAGCAAAAATGTTGATATTTCAAGTGATTTGTAAAAGACTTTAGCTGCATCCCATATGGCACAATATACACTATGCAATTATAGTGTCGTCCCAACATTAATATATATATATTTTTTACTGAGCTGAAATTCAAACCGTTTCCCTGATGATGTTTGACGGTTGCCAAATTACCTAAATAAATGAACAAACTACCAAATAATATCTGCCATGAGTATAACCAAAGAGTATGGAATTCACAAGACGTGTAGTTTTATATAGTTTTCAACGGGGAAAAGTGTAATGGTCAATATGGTGAATGAAGCCCCGCCTAGTAGTACAGGAGCCAATCATAATTCGCTATAGACTGACATTTCGCAGAGGGCAAAGCTCGGAACAGACGTGTGCTTTTATGACAGTTTGGTAGTCAACAAACACACTGGAATCTTAGTGAATACTTGCTTCACATAAATAAGAAATAGATCCACGTAAAGCTTTAAATATCTACTTTAAAATGAACCTTTTAAATAAAATGTTTATGATTTTGTATTCTGTATGAAACGAGCACGAGGTACAGTTCGTCCTGTCAAACACACATCAAATGTCAGCAATTACTGAAACATCCACAAACTTGTAAACAAAAAGTCGCTGTCATTTCTGGAGGAGACTCGCCATTAAGACCAATTTGTGAATAACTTCTGAAGACCGCAATCTGACGAGCATTACCCAAAGGAGGTTGTGTAGAACGGCTACAAATGTTCCTTTCGAGTGTGCATCTGCATCAGCTTGGGCAACCTGAAAATATGCAGATTTTGTTTGATTCTAATGTTTAGAAATGAAAATAATGAGATGGTTGTTGCTTAATTGTATCTGTGATTCCAAATATGTAATGTAATCATAAGCTTGGCTAACAATTTTGGAGAATTTGACGTTTCCCTATTCAGACAAAATGCCAAAGCATACTGTTCGAGAGTCGCTTCAAAGATGGCTGCAGAGTGAAATGATTTGGCTGAAAGGGACTTTGGTATAACAGCATTCACCATCAGAAGGCAGTATAATCTCTCGTAGGAGAATTTTGCTTTTTACAATCCAAAATCAATAAAGTAATTCAACATCATCACCTGAAAGCTCCGCCCCTTCCACTACAGGAGCAAAGCAGCGGCTGCTGAATGCGTGAAGTGTTCAACATTACATACTTTACTTTACCAGTTGAATAAGTGCATCCTTCGGATATTTAAAGTGCACTTATTCTGTTTAGAATTTTCAGTGTTAATGCACTACTTACACTATTTTTTACTACAAAATGGCGAAGAATAGCGCATAAGTATGCAATTTGGGATGCACCCTTTGATAATTTAACCCTTTGATAATTTTTGTGTGGAACAATGTTGCCTTGAAGCAACAAATGAATATTCCTTGAATAAAAAGAAATATATATTGAATAAATTCAATAAATATTGAAAAGGCAAACTACTATTCTAAGTGTCCAATATTAACCAGGAAAATCACAAGCCTTTTTATTCGCAATGATATCATATTCCATACCACAGAGGGTTAATCAGCTGACCGTCAACATAACAACAAACTATAACTGACATGAATGTGTATGTAAATTAGATATATAACTGTCACATGGTCCAGCGATCAAGACTGTCTGACGTGAACGGAGTTCAGTGACACAATAAAACTGTCAGAATCAATAAACCCCGAGAGCATCAACGTTCACCACATCTTATGCGAAATGAATAACCTGCAGCCTTATTTTAAATGAATCATTCGCGTCTATCACTCCGCTTTCTTGAGACTACACAACAATGTTGAAAAGCAGAAAAAAAAATGCTTTTCTCACTCCGACAGCACAAAAACATCAGAAAACATCACAGAGCAAAGTTCCCCAAGAGAGAATCAATGCATCCGGTAGATCTCAGTGACTAATGTGTTTGGGGTGGGTGTGAGTGTATGTGTGCGGCTGATGCAATTTAGGGTATGATGAGGGGCCTTAAATGGGCCTGTCTGAGTGTGGACATCCTCTCGATGGCTTGCATCCGTCCCACCAAAGACAGTATGGAGCCACTGGAATCGCTGGGACACACTAATGAGCCCCCTAGAGAAAGGTGCGGTCTCACAGTGGAA